CTGTGGGGAGGGTGCCTGGCCACACCTGTCCAGTGCCCCTCAGCTGTGGTCACTGGCGGACAATGAGCCTCCCTGCTGTGGGTGGGAAGCTGGCCCTCCACAACAACGTGCACCTGAGCCTCCAGCTGCCTGTCCGGGACACTCACATGCCACCTTCATTTCAGGAGACTTGTGGCGAGCCCGCCAGCGGCTTTACCTAACCGTGTTTATTCGTTGGTTGAGCAATGGAGAGGGGGTAATGGTGAACAAAGGCGTTACTTCATCCCTGTCCGGGGTGTTTTTAAGTGATTATCTTCTAAGGAGGTTGAAGTACCTTCCTGCCTTGGGTGAGAGCCAGACCCAGCTCCCGTCATCTGGGGCTGTGGGGACCTGTGGGTGGCAGCCCCAGGAGTATGTGGGCTCAGTGACCCTGGGTTGCTGTGCCTGTTGCCACCTTCCAGCACTATCCGTTTGTGTCTCTTTCACCAGGTGGCCGACTCCTTGGTGTGCCAGGCACACCTCCCCTGGTGAGCTGTGATTCTAGACCCTGGGAGCATGTGTGTGTTCCCAAAAGGAGTCCTGGATGGCGGTATGCAGTGTCCCATTGCAGGTGGAAAGTACTGGCCTGGTGGTGTGTGTATATGGCTGGGGGGGTGGGGGGGCGGGTGTTGTAGTGGGGTAGGGTTTGGTGCCTGGCCGCCAGTGTATCTGTGTGCCACAGGAGGCACCACATGGCCTCCCTGGGCAAGTCACCTGGCTGGTGCAGCCGGGGAAGTGCAGCCACATTGCCACCTGGGGCTGCCTGTTGAGGGGGCTGACCCTCTCTCCGGCCTCGGGACAGTTCAGAGAGTTGTGCCAGGCCCACTGAGTTACACAGTGACTGAGAAAGGGCTGGGTGGGGTTTCACAGGGCAGGGAGCGGGCTTGGCCAGCCCTCCCTCTGCCTGGAGCCAGTGAGGCCAGCTCCCTGCCGGGCCTCAGAGAATGGGGCCTTGTGTTTCCCAGCTCACTGTGACCTTTCAGAGCATGGAACCGAGCCCCTCCATGGTCAGGAAGCTCACTTACTGAGACAGCTGAGTGCAGATGCTTCCGGAAGTGATGCCTGAGGAGGCCGGGTCCCTCTGCCTGCCTCCCTGACAATCACCAAAATGAACACAAAGCTTGAAAATCAGGAACAAGCTTGCTCTGCTATGGGTCTTGGGTTGGGGTGCAGAGGGCGCAGCAGGGTCTCACCAGATCAGGGCTTCGTGCAGAGAAAGAGTCTGTTTCAACGACCGGAGTCTGCTTTCCAGGGCCCAAGATGACCAGGCTCGGGGTTCGGGAGAGGAGGCCGAGCAGCTTTGCATTGCTGGTGAAAAATCACGCTGAAGGGCAGGGAAAGAAAGGGGTCCGGGCCTCAGACCAGCAGCTGCCACACATGGACCCGGGACCACATGAGGGGTGCTGAGGGGCCGTCCCTGTGCACTGAGCCTGCCAGTGGTCTGGAGAAGGCTGGGCCACACCTGTTGCCAAGGCCACTGTGACTGCCCAACCTGCAACCGGCTGCCCTGCTGCATCTCCTGGAGGGGAAATGTCGGGCTGATGGACTGCTGCGTGGAGGCTGGTTGTGTGTCTTCGATGCACACGGAGATGCCTGCCAGAAAGTACAGGGCCCGAGTGGAGAGGCAGCAAGTCGGCCTCCGTGCACTCTGCTTGATTTCTGCCCTTGCCGCGCTGGTGTCTTCCACTGGGAAGCTTCCAGAGCTGAGCTTGCAGGAAATTGAAGATAACAAAGTTCCGAACAGCATGCTGATTGGAGGCTGCCCTGCCCCATCCTGCCCCTTCCCAGACCCCACAGCCCTCATGTAGCTGCTAAAGGAGAAAGAGAAAGAGGTACATTAGGGAAAAGACGTGTTAAGTGAAACATTCTACATATGCTGTCAACTACCAAATCCAAACGAAACAAAAAGGGGCAAGCTCAGTGGACCCCCACGAACACTGACAAGGGCTTGGCTCCCTTGAAGGACTCCTTGGGGGAATCATTGCAGGGGCGGGGGTGGTGAGAAGGTAGTGGGTGGGAGAACCAAGTAGGGGTCCTCGTATCCCACAGGGGTTCCTGCTGAGCACTGCAGGAGCAACACAGGTGTGAGGCAGGCCAGATCACCCTGCTGGGTGAGGCCGCAGTGTTCCGAGAAAGATGGCCACCTAGTGCCTGGTGTTGGGGACCCGAGTCCACCTCCAGTGCGTCTTGCACACAGCAGTGGTCTTGTCAGAAGGAGCGTCTACAGAGGCCTGGGGGTCAGAGATGGGCCATCTGAAATGGGACGCATCCAGAAAGGAGGGTACTCCCAGGTGTTCGGTGGGGAGTGGGCTTACTGAACGTCCTGGGAACTCCCCGGGAGCCCCTCCAGCCAGCCCAGGGCTGGCTCAGCGCGCCCTTGGGGCTGTAGGTGCAGGTTGGCAGGCACAGGGATGAAGAGACGGGCGTGCAGTCCCACCAGCAGGCGAATGTCTCCTGTCAATGAAACAGAAGGAGTAAGTGGGAAGCCGGACTTCGTGGTTTGAAAGGGAAAAGAACACAGCAGCACTCCGCTGCAGCCCTGATTCTGCAGCACCCTCGGAACGCCTTGTCAGCACGGCCTGCCTGGAACAGAAACAGTGGCCAGCAGTGTCGGAGAGCGTCCTGGCCTAGAACAGATAACAATGGTATGCAAAACCCAGTCACTATGATGTCCGCAAGAAACTAAAATGTAACTTTGAAGATGCTTGTACAACTGCAGGGACAACAAAATTAGGTGGGGTGGGGTGGGCGGTAACTTTGGGCTGTGTGGGTGGTGTGTGAAGAAAGTCTCTTTGGCTGCAGGCAGGCAGATAGACAGAGCCACTAGGGAGTCACTGTGCTCCTGGCCAAAGGCTGAGGCTTGCCCACGCTTCCTAAGTAATTGTAGATATGCGATGCCATTGCAATCAAGACAACTCTGTGTGTGTGTGTGTGTGTGTGTGTGTGTGTGTGTGTGTGTACGCGTACACACAGGAGAGGGGACATGAGGAGCGTCATTCTTCAGCTCACCTTTATAAACAGGAGGGATGGTTGTAGACATTTGACAGAGTGAGAGGACAGACTAACAGGATGGCCGAGCCAGTCTGGACCCCGGTAAAGAGAACCACTGTGTTCCTTGCGGGGGAGGAGGTGGGCAGAGCAGTGGGCCGCTCCTCCCTCACCACCCAGCTCCTTGTGGGTGACATCGCTAGGTGCCATGCAGTCGGTTACAACCCGTGGCAGCCCCGTGTGCAACAGGAGACACTGCCCTGTCCTGTCCTGCGCCAGCCGCGCCGTTGTTCCCATGCTGGAGCCGGCCCACACAACTACTTACACCGCTGAAAGTGGGATCAGGTCTCCACTGGAGAGGGGCAATGATGGGTGCCAGGAATGATTGGGTAGCTATTTTCCCTTACAACATTATACAGTAAAACCGCGAGATGGGTGCCTGTGCAAGGCAGAAGCCTGTGGGGGGGTCGGGGGTGGGGGGGCAGCCGATGGTCCCCACAGGAGGGAGCGAGCCCGGCAGCGGGGTTGCACTCGGTCCTGTCTGCCTGGTCTGGCTCTCCCAGGACTTGCTGTAGGAACTGTACGAGTCCATATGGGTCAGAGGAGTTTCTGCAAATGGAGTTCTAGTGGGAACCAGGCACGGCCCAGCAAGTTGTGGTCTCACAAGTGAGCAGCTGACTCTGAAAGAAGGCCCTGGGGACCCAGGGAGCTTCGATCCCAAGGTGTACACGCCCTCCCGGTGCCTGCTCCAATTGGGGGGTGGGGAGGGGGCTTCCAGGAGGAATGTGGGGAGTCAGCCTCCAATGGGAGGGCCCCTGTGGGAGGGTACTGGGAGAATGCAGTCTGCAGGGACTGCAGGGCCACCCGGGGCTGTAGAGATGTGAAGGCAGCTGACCACTGTGCCCAGGCTGGCCTGGAAGGAAGCCCACAGTGGGTAGGCACCTTTAATCTGCAGAATTGTCACTTTAGAGCCTGTGAGAGCTGGTCCAGTGGGAAACCTGTGTTTGCTGTGTGAGAATAGCAACCATGGTGGGCAGGTAGTCACTGGCCAGGTGGACATCTAGGTGACAGGCAAAGATGTTTAAGTCTCAGGAGAGTCCTCTGATTCAGATGAAGGCTGGGCTGGGCTCTGGCCCTTCTTGGGACCTGGAGAAAGAATCCTTGGCGAGAACCCGATGAGACCACCCCACCCCCCACCCGCAGGCCGGTGGTGATACCTGCTCTGCTCAGATGAGGTGAGGTGAGGTGAGGTGCAGCTGTGAGCTCTCACAAAGCCAGTGTTGGTGGAGCCGCTAGTGGGCTGGAAGCCCTGTCCAGCCACAGGTTAAGCCTGGCCTACTGTTGGCTGGACACCTCCAGGGAACTCAGTCAAGTGAGCGTATTTCTCGTGGTCTGCTTCCTTCCCCACCAGCAAGTGCTGCCTGCTGGGTCACGTCCACCCGCCCAGGCAGAGGCTCTGGACGTGGCCGTGGTGCTGGGGACTGCCACAGACACCTGTGCCCTGGTGGACGTGGTGTGCTGCTTCGCCCTAGGAGGGGGCAGCTTCATCTGGGGGTGCCTAGCATGGGTGCCCAGCAGCATGTTGCCACCCCTGGGTGTTGGTCTCTTCCCGGTACGCCATTTGGGTGGGGCTAATGGTGGTGTGCTCTGTGCACAGGCCTGTGACTGCCAGGCCCTGCAGGGGCACCCCTGACTGCTGGCAGGGCAGCCAGGCTTGAGTCAAGGGCATTGGGTCTCGCCCGAATGCCCCACCAGAGATAGTACTGGGGAGGGGGTGGCCCTCTAGAGGGCCCTGTAAGTGGGTCCCTCAGCATGGTGAGCTTGTGCAAGGACTGCCCAGCAGCAGGGCCAGTGGGTTCTCCAGCCACAGGCAGCTCCTTGGCACCTGTGTGTTCAGTCGCTGACACCAGAGGCACAATAAGAAAGACGCACTCTGGGCCCTCGGGCCACCACCGGCTCCTTGCTCATCGGCTTCTCCTCTCTCTAGCACAGCACTCCCTGCCTGAGGCAAGAGGCGCCCTGACAGCCTACTGATGTCCGTGCATCTGTCGGTCCAGCCTCCTCGGCTCTGAGGCAGGAGACTGCAATGTCCCAGGCACAGGACTACGAATGCAGGGCCCATAATGCCGACGCACAGGAGCCCCGGCTGTCTGGGCCAAGCACACGGTAAGACGAGCTGCGTGCCCACGTCACGGGCTAGGGTGGGGTGGACTTGATCTCCTGGCAATCACGCCTGTCTGGGCAGCCTGGGGTGTTGACACCCACTGTGGGGGGGGGTCTCCGAGTGGGGACATGCTGCCCTGGTGTTTCTGGAATCAGGAGCCCCGGGGCTCTGTACCCCACGGATTCCCCCCGCCCTGTGGCTGTAGTTCTTACCTTCTGCCCAGCTTTTGGCCTTTCTTGGAAATAAGGCAACTTTGCAGAGAAGTGACAAACATGCATGTGGTCCAGTGAGTATAAAGGCTGTCAGACCACCAACAAACAGAAGCTGCAAAGTCACAGAGCGCGCCCTGCCCCCTGCCCTGGGCGTTCACTGGAATCGGCACGGTGCCGCTGTGCTTTCTGCTGTCTGGGCCTATCCGGGTGCGCATCTGGTCCCGTCACCCCTGCAGCCCTGCTTCCTGTCAGGTCCAGCAGGTAGAACAAGAGCATGTGCACATGGCCCACATCCAGCTGTGCACACACATTCACGTGTCCACACATCTATGTGCCTTTGTACACACATTCTCGTGTTCGCCCACAGGGTTGGGTCCTTTGGTTTGGAGGTGCATGCTCCTGATTCCATGGGACATGTTTAATGCTCTCTTCTGGCTCCCAGTGCACTGAACAGTTCCTGGTCTTGCAAGTAACCCTTCAGACATCTCTGTCTCTGTTAGTCTGGACACCAGAGGGAGAGCACATCAGGAATAGGAAGAAGCAGAATTTGGGGCCAGTCTCCTCCACAAACAGCTGCGGCCTTCGCCTGGAGACCAGAACCGGCTGATGCCCCGCCACCATTCAGAAGCACATTCATCAACGATTCTATATAAGAGTTCTGATCAAAATGGGAAAGCTACAAAACAGACTTCCAGATTCTCCAATGAGTTGGACTGGGCAAATTCTGTTGACATCTAGGCTTTTTAGCGCCAGGAAGGGTGACAACCCTGAAACTATTACCCTGAGATCAGGCTTCAAACCAAAAGTATTCCCTGAAGTCATCTTAAAACCACACAATAGTTTAGTTTCAGTAAAAAAGGAAATTTAAAAAAGGTCTGCCTTTGAGCATTCTGCTCTCTTCTGAACTCTCTGTGTGGCCTTAAACATGGTCTCTGGATCGATGGCCATTTGACAGGTGATATGGAAGCTGAGAGCCCAGGGGGCCTCTGTGAGTGGAGGAGGCTGAGAAGGAAGACGCACCTGCTCATATCCTAGGAGCTGCTGTGTTGGTACGCTGGTCTGTGAACATTCTCAGCAAGAAAGAAGAGACGCATGGACCACTGGGTCCAGTTTGCGTGCTCCCCTCCCCCTGGAATTGCCACTGCTGTAATGCTGATTTGTTGTTTAAAGAAACTTCCAAAGGTTTAAGCTGTGCCAAATGGTTTCTTCCACACCCTACTGGGTGTGGAAGAAACGGCTGGTGGGAAACACACATCAAGTACGTAAAATCCCCAACATGATGGAGCCACTTGCCTGTGTAAGCAGTCAGCCCACAGAGGATGAGGGGCGTCCCCACTGCCATCAAGAAGAGCTACCTAGAGCAGAGCCTGTCCTTCACCCAGGAGGCCAGACTGCGGACAACACAAGGTGGCAGCAAGCATGCCAGCATCCTGTGGCAGTGGATCCAGGAGATCGTTGGGGACAGTATGGTGGGCCCCCTGCCAGGGGTCTTGTTGGCAGAGAGAAAGGCTTAGGGCACTGTAGCACATGTCCAAGAGGGGCCCAGGGCCCTGCACTGAAGAAAGTAGTGGTGGTGGTGGTGGTGGGGATTCTTCTCTGTGGGGAACCTTCTGGACCTTGTCTGTGAGAGTCTCCTGGCTTTGATCCTGATCCTTGTGGCTTCCCAGTCAGCCCCATCGTACTGGTGAGCCTGGTCCGAGTTCTGTGTGGACCTCTGGGAGTGTGTCCGCCGGCTCTGGGTTGGACATTGGGGCCCTTCTGATGCTTGGACGTCACAGTCGTGCTGCAGGGACAGCCTTGGGCGTGGCCATTGTCCAGTTGGGGGTTAGAGGTGCTTCTTGAGGAAGTGGGGAGTAGGGTCACTGAGTTGCAGGGCCTGGGTGCTATTAGCAGTCCCCTCCAAAGCCTCACCAAGTTAGGGCCCCTTAGAGGTGAGTGGTGGGAGCCATGTGAGGCATGTGTCATCACTTCCTGGCATGAGCGAGCTCTGCCCTCACGCCAGTGGCGTGGTCTGTCCTCGCCCGCGCTTTTGTGTTACGGCTGCCGGCCCAGGGATGCTCCTGTGAGTTGCGTACAGGGCAGAAAAGGGCAGGAGGCGGCGCGATGTAGGGGGCTGCTTTGCAAAAGTTTCAGGGTTTTAGTGGTCACCTGTGCCACTCTTGTAGTGTGTTGTCTGTGTTCTTGGTTCTCTTTGAAGACTTGCCCTTGCCCCGGGACCAAGGCCCATGCGTGCTTCGTAAGCTCTTTCTTCACCAAGACCTCCGGCCCATATGGACGGTCTCTGTGAGGTTTCCATTTCTAGACGACCATCCTGGGTCTAGCACTTTGGTCTCTCCCCAGTTCCTGGCTGTGCCTGTGTCTCTCCTGGTAGGACAGCCCCCTTAAAGCTGCTTCCCAGCACGGCCTGTGCGCCCACCCTCCCATCTGGGTCCAGCACTGTGGTGCACAGAGCGTCCCTGGCACAGCTCTGCAGCCTGTGACTCCCACTGGCTGACACGTGGGCTGTTCCCAGTCTCGTGGAGTGCTCACGGCCTGCTGTTGCCACTCTTGTAGCCCGGCCGGTCCCCATGGTTCTGGCCGTGTGGGGGGACTGATCGTGCTGGGAGCCCTGAGTACAGCTGGGTGTTGGCACTGCATAGCTGATCTCAGCCTGACTTGGATTTTCTGAGTTGGGAGTTTGGGGATGAACAAAAACGTCGTTTTCATGTAACTAGTCTACCATCTCCACCTTTCCTTCATGAGCACTTGAGTTGCTGTCTGGAATGTCCTGTAAACGCTTTGAGATGCTACTGTCTTAACTCTCCAAGGGAGTGTCATTGTGGTCTCTTTCTCTCTGACTGTCTCAGGCGGCACCAATTCCAGCCTGCACATCCTGTGTACACACACACACACACACACACACACACACACACACACACATCTCCCCTCCCAGGGTAAGACCTGGGCACCACTGTGCCTCCTCAGCTTCCAGTCCTGCTGTCGTCTGGCCACTCAGGTGCCCACCCCACTCTCCTGTACAGCCATTCCTTGGCTGAGCTGATTCTGACTCCCAGTGACCCTGGAGGACAGAATAGAATGGCACCTCAGGGACCTGAGACTAAGTCCTCACAGAAACAGGTGGCCTCAGCTCTCTCCCCAGGAGCAGCTGGCTTCCGACCTCTGCCCTTGTGGTGAGCCAGCAGCACGTCCTGTGCTGAGCCACCAGGCTGCTTGTTGGTTTACACATGTAAGTGATAGACTGTAAGTGACAGAATCCTTCCCAGAGCAAGTGTCCTGCTGTCAGGAAGAGCATGTGGCTTCTGGCGCCCTCCCCTCCTGTCCCTTGGGCCTACCCTCTTGGTCTTTGCCACGCTTTTGCTCCTGCTGCAGTGGTTCCTCGCCCACTCTTTACTGAGGGTCTCTGGTGTTTCCGCTCCATCTCCCACCGCCCGCCAGCCTGGCTCCCATGTCCAGGGCAGAGCGATGCTGTAGGCCAGGGACTCGGACACCAGCCCTGGGGCCGCTGTCGGTGACCCTGCCGTGCTGTGGTTTAGATGCCCAGTCTGAGGCCTCGGCACCCTGCTGCACTGGCCTCCCTCCTGTGGATACAGGTGTGCACGGACCATGGCCGAGGTGCCAGTGCCCTTGGGCTCAAAGAAAGGTGCAGTTGTGACTCAGGTGTGAGTGGTGGTAGCAGGTCCCCTGGGCCTGGAAGACAGACAGGTAGACGGCGTGGCCAAGCTCAGAGGATTGTTTTCTCCTTTGGGCTACGATGAATAGTCCTGCTCTGAACATTTGCGTGTTTCATTCTTAGAGTTAGAATTGTCTAGCTCTAAGGGCAGTTCTGTGCTTACCTTCCTGAGGATGCCTGAGTGCTGCACCACTTCACGTCTCAGACGAGTCTCCTTAGCCTCAGCAACACGCACTGCGGTCTGACGTCTTCACCTTGCTGTCCCAGTGGGTGTGGAGGGCTTTTCCCTGCCGATGGTGAGCATCGTTTCATGAGCTTCCTGGTCTTTGGTCTCTGGAGAAGGACATGGTGCTGGAGGAAGTGGGAAGAAGGAAGACTCACTAGGGGAGGGACTGGCACTGTGGCTGCACCAGGGACTCAGGCAGAGCAGATGGTGAGGACGGTGCAGAAAGGGTCACAGTGGGTCGAACTCCCTCTGACACCTCAGTACCACAACAACATGGGCACTTGTGTATCTCTGAAGTCGTCCCTCTTTAGGCCTTTTGGCTATTTCCAAATTGGGCTGATTATCTTTAAGAGTTTTTTTATTATCTTGAAATGACTTGCAAATATTTTCTCCCAGTCCGCAGGTAGTCTTTCTCAGTGGCGTTCTTCAGCACAAAGGGATTGATTCGGCAGCTTCTGGGTTTGTTCTGGGTGTGTCCGTTTGGCATTCTAGCAAAGAGAAGCCACCCACCTGCTCGCCAGTCTTGAGGATTTAGCCTTGTTTTTATCTAAACGTTGGTTTGTTCTGACGCTGAGACCTCAGTCTCTGATCTACTCTGCATTCATTTCTGTGTGTGGTGTGACGTAGGGACCCCTAACCCCCTTAGTTCTGCACGTGGGACCTGGCTGTCCAGACTGCCTGTGCAGAGGCGCCCTCTGCCCTGAGCCACCATGTGAGAGACTGGGTGCGTTGTCACGGTGCCCACCACTTGGCGGTTGCCTAGAAGACCCTGGGCTCCCGTTACGTTAATGCCAGAAAGAGTGACTTGAATGTTGTCGGCAAACATTCTCAGAATCAGGAAGGGCTCAGCATCTGGGGAAAGCTGAGGAGAGGTCCTCTGCCTACTTGTCTTCCTGAGAATCTTGCTTGCAGCAGGCTGTCTTAAGCCCTCAGCCAATGCGTCTACCTGCCAGGACCCCCAGAAGAAGGAAGCCCCTGTCTCCCAGCTTGTCGCCAGATAGCTGGTTTTGTCCTCCCCATCAGCTCTGACCCCTCTCCAAGCAGCAGGGCCCTGAACCCCAAGTCCCAAGCTGCTGTGCAACTTCACCCCCAACCCTGCAGGTGTCACAGCATCTTGACCACACTTGGGGCCTTCTCTGTGCACCCACCCCCTGCCCCACCTCCCACCCTAGACGGCCAGAGCTGGAGGCGGAGGCTTTCTCTCACCCTCACCACCTCCACCCTCCCACGGACTGAATGAAGAATCAATCACTAGCTAGACCCGCAGGTGCAGGTGACACAGACAGAGGCCCAGCTCCTGCCCCCCTGCCCCCGCTGGCCGGGTCCTCACTGCCCTCTGGGGCCTTTTCTAGGCAGCCCTTCCCCAAGCCCTGCATGGTGCCCCCAGGTGCCAGGCCCTGGGCCTCCCGGGGGGATGTGTGTCTCGGCACAATGCGGTGCCAGGAGGTGGCCAAGACCATCTTCCTGAAAGTGGGTGTCCTGCCCACTTGCACGTGAGGCTGCTATAAAGTGGGAGCAAACAGCCATTCTTTGTGGAAAGGAATTAATCCTGAAACTCAAGTGCAGTGTATTTTTTGCAGTATATTTTAAGCATGAATAAGAACTGCTGGTAGAGTTGGAATGTTTATTTCTTGCTTTTTGTTGGTTTCTGTGCGCCTAACGATGGCTCTGCAGGGTTCCTGTTAAGTGGGGTGTTGTGCTGGAGACGTGGGGGATGCAGGCGGCCAATAGTTGCTGCTTGGGAGCTGTGAATTGGGGAGGGCTTCAAGGGTGACCACCCCGAATCCTGAGGGATGGTCATTGTGCCACCGAAGCAGCCCCTGGTGTCTGGAGTGATCGGGTCAGGGGTCTCTCTGGCTCTTCTCACTGTCTCCTCACCCATGTTGTCAGGACCCGGGGATCTCCCCGGGGAAGACGGAGCCCAGAGACCAGCCTGGCTGCACCACTCTCCATTGTCCTGCACTCGCCCCTCGGAGGCCTGCCAGCAACAGCATGGTCCTAGCACCAATTCCACCAGGGGCCGACAGCTCCCCGGGTGGCCAGTGTGATGTGAGGGTGGGGATGGGGTGGGGTGATATCATGCCTTCCTGAGCGTGGGGTGGGGCTGCTCAGGCCCAGAGCCCCTCCCTGGCAGCCTGGCAGGTCCCCACCCCCTCCCTGCCCCTGCTCCATGGGGGCTGAGCGGAAGGGGGGCCCCTGCCAAGATGATGACTGGGGAAGAGGAACAGATTTTCCTCATTATACAGTTTACGAGGACAAAATTAAAACTTGAGAAGATGGAGGCTGTGGACTGTTCAAGATCAACTGCATCTTAGCTCCCTTTCAGAGATGCCGAGATGGTCTGACGCTGCTGTGACCCTGGGTTTCAGGGACACAGCCGTTGCCATCTGTCCTTGGGTCTGTGTTGTCTCATAGCAACTCTGGGACAGCTCAAAGCACCAGCCTTCTTCTGATCCAGTGCACCACGGGCTCCTTCCTGCAACCCTTAGCACCCACGCTCCCACCTGCTGTCCCCGGAGCCCAGCTCAGGCACGCCAGGGTGTGCGAAGGCTTCCTGTGTTCCCAGGGCTGCCCGGAGACCCAGCCTGCTGAGCTGACCCCACCCCGGGGATCTCCCAGAACTCAGGGTGGGAATACCTGTCCCCAAGGCCACAGTGAGGACTGGAGGCAAGCAGGGCCTTTCCCTGCCCCATCTTCCCACACCGCCAGCCCTCCTGATACCTAAAGGAGACCCACTTTCCAGAACCCTTGCTGGGCTGGGCTGCCATTTGGCCAGAGGAGTAGGACAAGGGCCACCGGCTGGGGTGCCTGGGCAGCAGGAGTGCAAGATTCCGACTCCACTACCTGCTGCCTGCCACGCCTGTGGGACTTTGATGCCTCCAGGCGCCTGCCACCTGCCTCCCCAGCTGCCTTTGTTGCCCTCTGTTGGAGATGGTGGGGGTGCCTGGCCTCAGGCCTACACCTGGCAGGTTGGAGTCTGACACGTCTTGTGGGGATGAGGTGGGGGGCTCCTTCTGCCTTCCCTTAGTGCTTATGGCTGACAGGCCGTGCTGTGGGGGGTGTCTCCATGACCTCCCGGCTGTCCACGCTCCTCTTCTCTTGCTTGGCCATCCGGCTTAATGAGGTTGGAGAAAGGCCCCCCTTACCCTACTGTGAGCCCACAGGCTTCTGGAGGCTTCCACTGGCCCAGACACAGGCCCCCAAGCCTACAGGGCTGGCTGCTGCTGGGTGGGCGTGCCTCTGCACAGGTCTGGGACAGCAGTGGGGCCAGGCGAGGCCAGCCCAGCGGAGTCACGAAGGGTCACTGGACCCAGGCTTCTGATCTGGTAGAGCCAGGTCTGGGGCCCTAGCCTCCTCTGACGATGTCTTTGCCCTCCTCCCAGGCTGGAGTGGGTGGAGATCATCGAGCCACGCACACGGGAGCGCATGTATGCCAACCTGGTCACGGGCGAGTGCGTGTGGGACCCGCCGGCTGGCGTGCGCATCAAGCGCACCAGCGAGAACCAGTGGTGGGAGCTCTTTGACCCCAACACGTCACGCTTCTACTATTACAACGCTGCCACGCGGCGCACTGTCTGGCACCGCCCACAGAGCTGCGACATCATCCCTCTGGCCAAGCTGCAGACCCTGAAGCAGAACACCGAGTCGCCCCGCGCCTCAGCCGAGAGCAGTCCGGGCAGGGCCAGCACCGTCAGCCGAGAGGGCAGTCCCGGTGCAGCCCCGGAGCCCGAGCTCGATGATGCTGTTGCCACCACCGACAGTGAGAAGGTGCAGGAGCCCCTGCTGAGGGCCACCCGGCCATTTGGGGTCACCAAGGAGGAGCGGGGCAGCGGCAGGTAAGCGTGCATGTCTCAACAGCTCTTGTGGGCTTGGGAGACCTGCAGTGAGCTGGAAGAGGGGCCCCTCTGAGTAGCCCCCTCAGTGATGTGCAGCTGATGGACCGCCCTCTCTGCAGGCGAGGGTAGCTGAGGCGAGGGGGCCCCGGCCCCTCCTCAGGCGCAGCCATTTGGGGGCATTTGGGTAATTGCTCAGAAACTGCGGGGGTCTTTGTTGCAGTGGTTGGTTCTGTTCAGGGAGCTTGCCAGAGGCTTGGGAACAGGGCGAGGCGGGGGTGGGGTCAGAGAGGCCCAAGTTCGGCCACGCTGCTGTGATGCCAGCTTCACCAACAGGTCTCCCTGGAAGTGGGGTGGTGTCCATGCCCCCTTTCTGCAAACAGAGCAGCCAGCCTGCCTCAGCCCATCCCCCAGCCACCCTTGCAGACAAGGGCGCCACTGTCTGCACAGTGCCCCCGCCATGCGGCCGGGTCAGCCTGCGTCCTCCTCATGCTTGGGCGTTGGACAGCCCTCCCTGACTTTGGCCGTCACCTAGGACTCCCCGTGCTCCCCAGCATCCCAGGGGCCGTGAGTGCATGGCAGGCGGGGCTCAGACCATCAGTGAGGCACCGTGCCCTCTGACCTCCCTTCTTGACCCTGGACTCCAATGGGGCCTGTGTGTCCATGGGCCTGCCCCGGGCAGCTGGCACCTGCTATACCAGCTCCTTCCTGTCAGTCAGTGACACTGACGAGTATCACTGCTGTCCTACGGAAGAGGAGGAGGACTCTGCCGTGCCCCCTGCCGCTCCCTGCTGGCCCAGCCAGCAGCAGACACTGCCCCTTCAGGGGCGAACCACTGCGCAGCCAGGCTCTGGTCCTGCAGAAGTCCAGCTGCTCGAGGGACAGACTAAGGAGTGAGCCCAGGTGTGCAGCCTGGGAGGAAAGGCAGGGCCGGGGTGCGAAACCCTGAGCTACACTTTGGAGCCCCTTTGCCACTGTGAGCAAAGACGCGGGCCTGTGGGGCTGTGACGCTGCGGTGACGGGGAGCTGCTGAAGGGTGGGGGCTCTGGGGCCCATCGGGGCCAGGCACAGGGCTTCCACTCCGGACCTCAGCATGCAGCCTCCGAGTGTCATACCCACACCGGAAACCACCACAGAAAATGTGTGGCCAGGGCTGAGACCTTACTCGGGGAGGGCCAGGTTCCGTGGGGCACACCCATGTGGTGGCAGCAGTACAGGGCGGGGTGCCACCTCCGGCTGGCAGAGCAGAGATGGAAAGATTCTAGCTGCTCAGCGTAGCAGAGACCTTCTGAGGAGACACAGTGTCTGTGCCTTTGTGGAGAGGTAAGGTGCCCACCTGAGCCTCCAGACAAGCATGGCACCCCCAGTGCCCCTGTGCTCAGGTGCAGGCTCTCGTGGGGACTACAGGAGGAGCCAGGAGCAGACAGGGCCTGGCGTGTGGGCTGTGTACCACCTGCCCAGGTACACCGTGCTACTGACAGACCGTTTCTCGTGTCCTGGCTCTGACCGTCCCGCCAACTCATTGTAGGCTTTGTGCACCTGCCCTTTGTGTGCCTGGTACCCTCTGTGCCTTGTTCCAGCCGACTTCCATTGACTGCCAGTGCTGCCAAGGAGGGGCCTGGGGCCCAAGGGGCCCAAGAAATGTGGATGCAGGTGCTATGGGAGGTAGAATGGGGAGGGGTGGGCGTGTAAGGTCTGGTCAAGCACACACTCTTGTGTTAATAGGAAAGTACTAGAATGCTTTCAAGGACCCACATGAGTCAGCCCAGCCTCTCTGCAGTCGGGTCTTTGAGCTTGGTTCTGAGAGCAGATGGTGAAGTGAGACCAAAGAGGAGGCCCTCTTTCAGTACAGGACCCGGCACTGGTCAGACGGGAGCCTCGTGTGCTGCAGCTCTGCCTGAGAATGCAAAGCTACAAAAACCAGGAAACGCATGCATAAGGAAACGCCAGGAAAGTTGTGCTTAGAGATCTTGGTGGTGGTTTCCCCATCTGCGCAATCCACTTGCTCTTGGAAAGCAGCAGAGTGGTCTGGCGCAATCTCACTGGGAAACCGCTCGTCCAGCCCGCAGGCTGCTTTTTGTTCCCTAGACTCAGCCAACATTTGTAGGAATTTAGTTTGAGTCCCCTGTGGTTGCCAAAAGTGCTAGTTTTGGTGTGCCCTAACTCAAAGAGTACAGAATGCCTCAGGGGAACCCCTTCCCATACAGAGATGGCACGACTGCATTGAGGCACGGAGACTGGGTGGAGGCCATGCTGAGAGACAGTAGGCTAGCTGGATGCTTTGGCTTGGTAAAGGTTCCTGTGGTTTTGTGCCGGCACCTACCCAAGTCCACCTGGTTTGACTTCTCCAGGGAACCTGGTCTGCAAGGGTGAGAAAGGGGCACAGGGCGAAGAGCGGTGCCTGTGGGAACTCCCGGTGGTGTGTACTCTGCTAGACGTATTCTCAGTGACAATAAACGTTTAGAAAGGAGACAAGCATATGAACACAGGGTGGCCCTCACTGGAAGTTGATCTGTGTAAGTGGCTGGGCAGCTCATGAGAAAGGCCGGTCTTTGTAGCAGATCGTTCTGACAAAAACGATGATCCTCAAAGGTAAAAGTGGACCTCCACCGCTTCTTGACCTCTGCGTCATAAATGTGAACTGGATTTATAGACCCCATTGTCTTCCGACCTCCAGCTTGGAAGGACACAAGAGCTCCACTCGTAAAAGAAAACATAATAAATCAGACTTGGTGAAAATCCTCAGCAGTGCTCTTCCAGAAACCCTGGAAGGTAAACAGAGGAGCAGTTACTAAAACCAAGCTCACTACCTTCTAGTCGATAGTGGTCATGGTGGCCCTCCAGCATAGGATGGAACGGCCCTTCTGAGTCTCTTCATGGGCATGGAAAACCCTGTCTTTCCCTGCAGAATGGTTGGTGGTTTTCAAACTGCTAACCTTGGAGTTAGCAGCCCAGGGCTCCTTAGACCAGTTATTTAGGTGAGGACAAAACATGCGCATGGCAGAGGCCTTGAGTCCAGAATTTAAAGAACTGCCCAAAGTGACGAGACACACTGTCCAGTTTTAAAACTCATAAAAGGCTGGCTCTTATAACAGCCGACAAGGAGGCCACCCACCACTAGGCAAAATATTAGCATCTCCGTCGTCCTAGGAGGCAGCTAAAGTCCCTACTGGGTACCTCTACACAGCCTAGCGAGGCTCGAACTTGTGTCTGTAGCAGTGTGGTAAAGACTCCTAGTGACCTGCAGCTTCCGCTTGGTTCTGGAAGGAATAGCCTTGGCATAGGTTCGTAGGATGACTGCTGGATACAGTGCATTTCCCCAGGTTTCCTGCCACAGTACCAAGCCTGTGCTCCCGTGACCAGCCTCCCTTGCACCTTGACCAGCTTCACGAGGAGTTCTGCAAGACCAGACTCGCTGCCGTCAAGTCGATGCCAACTCATGGTGACCCCATGGGACAGGGCAGAACTGCCACTCTGGGTTTCTGAGACTGTAACTCTTTATGGGAGTAGAAAGCCCTATCTTTCTCCCAAGGAAGGAACAGGAATTTAAAAATAAACCCTTGATGCTAGAAACAAAGCCAGAGATGGCATGATAGAATTTTGCAAGACCAACGACTTCTTATTTACAAACATTTTTTTTTTCAACAACACAAAACAAATCTTTGAGCATGGACTTCTCCAAAGTGACCACACTAAAATCAAACTGAGCACATCTCTGGGAAGACAAGATGCAGAGGCTCAATATCAGCAACTGCAGTGAGGCCAGGGACCAGCTGTGACTCAGTTGCTCATGTGTAAGCTCAGGTGGAAGCTGAAGAGAATGAGAGCAAGTCCCTGAGAGCCACAGTGCAACCTGAGTCTCTCCCACCTGGATTGCGAGAGCATCTCAGCAGATTAGATTCATGGAACGCTAATGACAGAAGACCTGATGAGGTGTGGGAGGACATCAAGGACATTGTGTATGAAGAAGACACATGGCCATTGAAGGAGAAGATCAAGCGTGGATGTCAGAAGAGGCGCTGAAGTGTTCTCTTAGCTGTAGGGTAGCTAAGACAAATGAAACAAATGAAGTCAAAGAGCTGAACAGAACATTTCAAAGGGTAGCTCAAGAAGACAAAGTGAGAACATATTTGGGGGAGACGACTTGGGAGAAATCTTTCTGTTTCCCACAGTTCTCAACCTTCCTAATGCCGCAGCCCTTTAATATAGTTCCTCATGTTGTGTGACCCCTAAGAAAAACAAAAGAAGACAAGTGAAATATTATAATGCAATCAATGTCGAAGAACTGGAGTTAGAAAACCAAAAAGGAAGACCATGCTCAGCATATCTTCAGCTGAAAGAGCTAAGGAAAAAAATTCAAGACTTGAGTGGCAATTGTGAAAAATTCTTTGGGCAAAATTCTGAACTATGCAGGAAGTATCAAAAGAAGGTGGAAAGGAGACCCAGAGTCACTACTGAAAAGAACTGCTCAGCATTCAACCATTTCAGGAGTGACCTTATGAGCAAGAACCAGCGGTGCTGAGGGAGGAAGTCTAAGCCGCGCCGAGAGCATTAGCACTATGAACAAAGCTCCAGGAACTGACAGGTCACCAATTGAAATGGTTCAACAAGCTGATGAAGCACTGGAAGCTCTCACTCGTCTGTGACAAGACAGTTGGAAGACAGCTATCTGGCCAACTGACGGGAAGAGATCCATATTTGTACCCATTCCAAAGGTGACCCACCCAAAGGCTCAAGGTATAGAACATTGATATCACCTGCAAGTCAAATGTTGCTGACCATCATCACACAACAGTGACAGCAGAGCACTGGGTACAGGGAGCTGCCGGAGGTTCAGGCTGGATTCAGAAGGGATAGATATCATCGCTGATGTCAGATGGATCTTGGCTGAAAGCAGATATTGCCTTGTGTTTTATTGACTGTTGCAAAGGCATTTGACTTTATGGATCACCGCAAACTATGGACAGCCTTGAGAAGAACGAGCATTCCAGAACACTTCATTGTGCTCATGAGGAACCTGCACGTGGATCAAGAGGCAGTTGTGCCAACAGAACAAGGAAACACTTCATGGTTTAAAATCAGGACAGGTGTGCGCCAGGGTAGTATCCTCTCACCAGATTTGTTCGATCTGTGTGCTGAGCAAATCATCAGAGAAGCTGGCTTACATAAAGAAAACTGTGACCTCAGGATTGGAAGAAGGCTTATTAACAGCCTTTGATATGCAGATGATGCAACCTTGCTTGCCGTAAGTGAGGAGGCCTTGAAGCACTTGCTGAGGAAGACCAAAGATTGCAGCCTTCAGTGTGTATTACGGCTCAATGTAAACACCTCACAACTGGACCAATACATGACATGGGAAGTGGAGGAAAAATGGAATCTGTCAAAGCTCTCGCCTTACTCGGATCCACAACCAATGCTCACAGGAGCAGCAGTTGAGCTTTTTACAAATTCATTGCGTTAGGTAAATCTGCTGCACAAGACCTCTTTACGGTGTTGAAAAGCAAAGATGTTACTTGGAAAACTGGGGTGTGCCTCACCCACGCCATGGTGTTTTCAGCGGCCTCCCATGCTTGTGAAAGTCGGACCTTGAATAAGGGAGACTAACGAAGAACCAATGCACTTGAATCGTGGCTCTGATGAAGATGCACGAAGGTGCCACGGGCTGCCAAGAGACCCAGCAAACAAATGTGCCCTGAAGAAGCACAGCCAGAGTGATCCTTCCAGGCAAGGGTGGCACGCTCGACTCGGGGACTCTGGACCTGGAGACAGACCTCATGCTTGGTAAAGTAGCGGGGCAGTGAGAGAGAGGAAGGCCCTTGATGAAATGTATCGACACGGCGGCGGCGGCGGCAGCAGTGGGCTCAAACATCAGAGCAGTGGTGGATGGTGCGGGACGGGGCAGGGTTTGGTTTGGTTGCTCTGCGCCTGCACTGACTCAGACATGGAGCAGCCACAGGGCCGATGACACCGGAGCATCTTTGCAGGTGCTGAGGGCTATTCGAATGGCCTCTTTGGGGAAATATCTGCTCGAGTCTTTTGCTTTTGTTTTGATTGCTTGTCATTTAATTTCTGAAAGTACTCGATTTCAAAGTATTTTACAAAAAAAGAAAGTATTTTACAGCTAGTTGCATTTCTTACTGTGAGCAACTTGTTCACCGGTTCACTCACTCTGTCGGCCACTCAATTTGTCTCTAGTGTATTTACTATGTACAGACCCCTGTTCATGGAATTCTTAGAATTAGCTGGGGTGGTGTTTAACTCTCTTTAAACTCTGTTACCAGTCCCTTACTCTTTGATTAAAAAGAAACACACACAAAATAAAGTACAAAAATTTTAAAAGCCCTGTTGGATACTTCATTAGAATTCGACTAAATTTCTTACTTTAAAAGGAAGAGATAGAGCCTTTCATCCATATTTCCCTCTCTATTCTAGATTCAGGGCTTCTTTTAAGTAAACTTTAACCATTCATTTTGGTTCTGTGTGTTTTTTGCTAACATATGCAAGAAATATTCTTGGTCACTTACTGCTTTCATGAAAGTGAACTTTGGAAAACAAAAAAAAAAAAAAAGAAAGTGAACTTTGAATCTATTGTGATTCCCCCCCCCACCCCCCCGCACTTGTTACTGCTGACCAAAGAAAGCCAGTTCCTGCAGTCTATAAGTGGGGGCTGTTCCTAGGCTCTCCTGATAGTTTCAGGGAGTTTCCAGTTGATTCTTGTGGGTTTTCCAGGTTGACAGCTAAGGACAGTGTTATCTCTTTCTATAGTAGATTTACACGGCTGGCCTTTTATCTGAGCTTATTGCATTGACCAGCGTTTTCAAAACGATCCTGCCTCCTGGAAAAGCCGACGAGCTCATTCTTGATTGGCGTGCCTCACTTGCAGTGCTGGCCACTGCAGAGGCATTTGGGTCTAATGATGTATATTCTTAATCAGATTAAGTACTCTTCTACATCTGAATGCTTGAGAATTACGTAATTAGTGTCCTAAGTAGATGCCAATTTGATCATGCATTTGGACCTCTGTCAGGGTCATCAGCTGCTACCCACTACACATTTGTTCCCACAGCACTCATGGAGTGCTGTGTGCTCCAGTGCCTCGGTGGGGAGCCCTCACGGCGCTCCATCACTGCTCCCTCTGTGCGCCCTGCCTAGCCACCCTGTCACCGCTGGTGGAAGCTGGGCTTCCCGGGGGCCCGCCCCTCAGGCCATGTGCGCTGCCCATTAAGGGAGCAGGCTGAGGGGGCCGGGCCAGGGAGAGGGAAGAGGCAGTGGTAGCTGCTCTTACTCGGACATGTGCCTCTTCTCTCCTGCTCTGCACTGCCTTAGCTCCTCCCCGCCGGATGTGTTCCTGGAGAAAGACTGTGAGAACTACCGGGACTGCAGCCCGGATGGCCCACTGCTTCACTACAGGTAGGCCGGGGGGGCCCCCCTGCCAGAAGGTAGGGGCCATGGGGGTGCTAACTGAGTCAGACTTCCTCAGCTAGACACAGACACGGGTGGCACCGAGGACAGTGAGATGGCCCATGGTCCCTCCGCACAGTGCAAGCCCCTGCGCCCCACCCATGGAGGGCAGGGCCTGCTCTACAGTCCGGCCAGCTCCTAGGTGAGGGAATTGGCATCCGGGGATGCCCTCTGTGTGAGGTCCTGGAGAGCCCAGAGGAAGGGCGGTTCTCTGTACCCCCACCCCCAGGTTGGGTGGCTCACTTGTTCAGACATGCTGAGAGTGAGCGGGAGTAAAGGCCAGCACAGATGGGGGCAGCATAGACCCTGTGCAGGCTGGGCCACGTGGGCAGTGGGTGCAGGGATCTGTCGCTCAGGTTGGAAACCAGGCCAAAAGCTCAGGAGGCCAATCATACACGGAGCCATCGCCCGGCAGGGTGCTGGGCACAGGTGTGGGGCGGCAGGCTGTTACGCTTCTATTCAGCTGCAGGGTGCCAAGCAGAACTGTCAGGCAGAGTGGCGCCCCAGTTGGACAAGGCTGCTGTCTGCTCTTAGCCTCGCCAGAGCCACTATGCGTGAAAAGTGGGTCCCAAGGCGCTCGAGTGCCTTGTTGGGTGGGCTGAGGCTCAGGGCCCTTCGGTCCTGGAGTCTTTGTGCCTGTCCGCCTCCTTCCGCCTGATGTCAGGTGTGGGGCTGCAGGTGGGGCAGAGACAGGTCCCCGGTGCCCAAGGGAACCCTCGGGCCAGAGAGGTCAGGCCCTAGAGGAGCCTGCCCTCAGGATGGTGTGGCCTGAGCCAGGGTCTCATGGGAGCCATGCTCCCCTCTCCCCTCAGGGCTTCCTCGCTTCAGTGGACCACGGGGACCAAGGAGCGCATGCTCATCAAGGTCACTGGCCGGGAGCCCAGCTTCCTCGCCCCCCAGGGCAACGGCTTCCCTACAGACAGCCAGCCTGGGGCCCGCACCCGCAGGCCCTCTGGCAGCCAGCACTCCCCTGGCCTACAGATCTTTGCCCCCGACTCTGATGGTGCCGTCTTCTTCCCTGAGAGGCGGCCCTCACCCTTCCTAAAGAGGGCTGAGCTCTCGGGGGGCTGCTCCCCACTCCCAGGCCGTGGGAGCGACACCTTCTGCGTTCCGCTGCAGGCCCAATCCCGCAAGCCCTCCAGCGACTCCCAGCCTTCCTCCCCACGCTATGCCTACGAGCCCCCCCTCTACGAAGAGCCTCCCGTGGAGTACCAGGCCCCCCTCTATGATGAGCCCCCTATGGACATGCAGTATGAGGCCGGCGTGGGCTATAAGGCCGGCTCGCCCCAGAAGTCACCTGTGCGTAAGCCTCGCCCCTTCCTGCAGTCTCCCAAGCACTCGTCACCCTCACCGTACCAGCAGCTGGTGCTGACCAGACAGAGGGGCCCTGAGCGCTTCATGAGCTTGGACTATAGCCCTGCGGGCAAGGAGTATGTGCGCCAACTGGTCTACGTGGAGCAGACTGGCTCCAGCCCCAAGCTGCGGGCCGGCCCACGCCACAAGTACGCGCCCAACCCCGGAGGTGGCTCCTACTCACTGCAGCCCAGCCCCTGCCTGGTGAGGGACCAGCACCTGGACACGCGGTCCGGGGACTACAGCAGCATGGAGGGGCCTGACTTCCGGCATGGCCCCCCACCCACACCACTGCCCACCACGCAGGACGACACCATGTCCTGGTCCAGCCAGCAAGGCACCATGTCCTCGGTTGGCTGCTCCCCCGGCCCCCGCAAGAGGAAGAGCAGGAAGCCGTCCCTAGGCCAGGACCCCAACACCTCGTCAACTGATGGCTCGGGGGACCGAGAGCCCCTTGGCGAGCCCCTCCTGGCTGAGGAGCGGCCCCTGTGTGGGTCTGGCCTGGCTCCCTTGAAGCGTGCTGAGGGCCGACTGGTCGAGGCAGAAGGGGTGCGAGGCGCATGCGAGCCCCTCCTGGCACAGGCGAGGCTGGCCTGGGAAGCCCAGCAAGCTCACCACCACATGAAGCAGCGGGGCAGCTGGGACTCGCAGAAGGATGGCTCAGGCTATGAGAGCGACGGCGCGGTGCCCCTGCCCATGCCAGGGCCCGTGGTGCGTGCCTTCAGCGAGGACGAGGCTCTGGCCCAGCAGGAGAGCAAGCACTGGAAGAGGGGCCCCTTCGAGAAGCTTGGCTTCCCCCAGATCCTGCTGGAGAAGAGCATCTCCGTCCAGACCAACCTGGCCTCCCCGGAGCCATACCTGCACCCCTCCCAGGTGAGGCCTGGCTGGGGCCCCATCATCAGGCTCGACAATGGCCCTGCCCCAGCTCAGGGGACCTGAGAGGTCCCTCTCGCAGGGATTCCCTCTCCCAGCTGCCCGCATTAGGGACCAGGGGTCGAGGGGGGCTGCTTCAGGATAGGGTGACGGGGGCCCGGGCCGTCCGGCCCGAGGGTGTGGGAGGGTGGGGGGAGGGGGACCAGTCTGCTGTAACTTCCCCCACCCCTCCATACACACACACACTCCCTGCTGTGGTCAGCTGACTCACCCCTCACTGCCCACTTGCCCTCCCCAGTCTGAGGACCTCGGTGCCTGTGCCCAGTTTGAGAGCATTCGGCAGGGCCGCAGCATGATGCCCAGCGCCAGCTGCGTCTTCCCCACCTTCACGCTGCGCAAGCCTTCCTCGGAGACAGACATCGAGAACTGGGCCTCGAAGCACTTCAACAAGCACACGCAGGGCCTCTTCCGGCGCAAGGTGTCCATTGCCAACATGCTAGCCTGGAGCAGCGAGTCCATCAAGAAACCCATGATCATGACCAGCGACCGGCACGTGAAGAAGGAGGCCTGCGAGATCTTCAAGCTCATCCAGATGTATATGGGTGACCGGCGAGCCAAGGCCGACCCGCTGCATGTGGCCCTGGAGGTGGCCACCAAGGGCTGGAGCATGCAGGGCCTGCGGGACGAGCTATACATTCAGCTCTGCCGGCAGACCACCGAGAACTTCCGCCTGGAGAGCCTGGCGCGTGGCTGGGAGCTCATGGCCATCTGCCTGGCCTTCTTCCCACCCACGCCCAAGTTCCACTCCTACCTGGAGGGCTACATCTACCGCCACATGGACCCCGTCAATGACACCAAAGGTAAGGCCTGAGCTCACCATGGCCACAGCACCTAGTTTAAGCCTGAAAGACCCCTTTGCACCCAGGGTTGCTCCAGGTAAGGTCGGGCCATGGCGAGAGCTACTTGCTGTGCTGGCCGCACCTGCCGCCAGCTGTGCCAGAGGAGCAGCAGGTTATTTGGGCAGCACACTGGGTGGACATTTCCCCACGAAGGCTCTGCACTCTGAACTCCAGCCTGTTTCTTCAGCCCCAAGAAGAGCTGCGTCCATGCCTGGCTGAGGGTCCCAAGTACCCCCAGGGTGCAGCCTGACTGGCCCTGGAGACTGGGCTCTCTGGGACCCCGGACAGAGGATGGCCTTGCCAAGGTGGTACAGTGAGTGCAGTGTCAGGCACAGACAACCAAGTTTCAGGTACACCTCACTAGCTGGCACTCTGGCCAGCGAGCCCTAGCCCTGGCCTTCAGGGCCCTGGGAGGTCTGCCCCCCACCAGCTTCACAACTCCCCTGCTGTGCATGCTATCCACAGTGGCTGCTCCTGAGGAAGAAGTTAGTGGACGAGTGAACAGGTAGCAGATGGACAGGCCACAGGACCAGGCAGCCTAAAAGGGTCACTTGAGCAGGTGTTCGGCCTGGCAGTGGCAAAGCTTGTACCACCTGTCCCAGTGCTGTTTGTCCAGCCAATCGTGTCAGTGGGGCTTGGCCACTCCCAGAGAGCTGGGAGGCAAGTCCAGCTGTGGGGTATGGGCTCATGTCTGGCTGTGACAGCCTGGCTTGCCCTGCATGAGACGCAGCTCCAGGTGGGCTTCTGCTGGAGGCAGGCCTTCCATGTCCATACAGGGTGGCAATCCCACCTCAGATGGCCTTTGTCTAAAGAGGCCTAACCAGCTTGGATCGTTGTCCTTCCTTCTCAGACCCATGTGGGTTACTACACAACTGCTCATTGTCAGGGAGGTCTACTGTGTTGTCCTTAGAAAAGGGACTGTCTTTGATAAGAAAACTGAGGCTAGGAGGGCAGCGTGGCTGGTAAGAGGTGCACTGAGCCCAGCTCCTGCGCATGGCTTTTCATCGTCCTGGTTCACCTGGCCAGCTTTGGCTGCAGGAGCCTGTACTCCCCCATTGAACCATCAAGCGTCACACCATCCAAAATAGCCGGCCCCATCCCAGGCCACATGCGCACCCTTTGGCTTCACGTCTTGATCCAGGTACAAGCTGGGGCTGTCATGGCTTGCCTCGCTGCCCTCTTTTAAAAAGAGGATCTCCTGGCACAGACACTGCTGAGGTGCAGACACAACAGATTCTGAGGTTTTAATCACCTCTCATGCTTTCATTCACTCCGTGATTTCTCTGGCTTCCAAATGAGAACAGCAAGTTGAATGTGTGCATTTACTTGAGTGTACTCTGCCTTGAACTAATATAATAACAGTGGACTTTTTTAAAGGCAAGAAATAAGAAATCAGAAGAGAAGTATAGGTTTTGGAACTGAAGACAAGGGAAATTTGAATCAGAGCAGTTGTTGGAGGAGGATTCATAGCGCCTACATGCTCTTGAGCTCTACATGAGTTGTGATCAACTCAATGGCAAAGGGTTTGGTGGTTTATTTGTTTGTTCTTTTCATACTTAGGTAAGAAGAGTCTAGCCTCAATCCTTTTCGACTTTAGGAAACGTTGGTGAGGGGGAGGGGAAGTGAATGCTACCAGAGTAAGCGGAAGAAAGGCGATGAGATCAGAGTGTGGAAGTCATTGAGAGGGGTATCGCAAATAGTAGAGAAAATCAATGAAAATAAAAATGGATTCTTTGAGAAGATTTAAGAAAATGGATACATCTTTAGCTGGACTGATCAGGAAGAAACAGAGAGAAACATAAAAGAGCACCATCGGGAACGAAAGGTGAGGTTCCGTAGATTTTGGAGACACTAATCAGGGAGCGCCATAGGCCAATTTCTCGAAAGACAGAAACTACTCAGGAGCGGTCATCTGAGGAGCCACCACCTGTTGAAGAAATGGTTTGGTCCTGAATAACTTCCACACGGGAAATTCTAGACCCAATGGCTTTGCTGGTGAGTTTCCCACACATGTACTTGTATCACAGTTTTATCAAAATTCATTCCTAGATCCAGGTGGGGGAAATATTTCCCAACGCTTTCTATACCCAAACTGGAAAAGGACTTTATAAGAAAATAAGGATGTTAACCTTTTTTGACAATATTTTAGGAAATCGAACCAAACAATAGATAAAAGTATGATGTGTGTTGACCATTCAGAATATAGGCAAGGCATGTAAGATGGGTTTGTCATTTGGAAGTCAAGCAGCACAGCACACTGTTGACAGAGCGACAAGGAAACCAGATGATGTCGCAGTAGAGGTAGGAAGAGAATTGGACAAAAGCCTACATTCATTCATTCTACTAAAAACTCTAAACCAGCCAAGTATAGCAGGAACTTCTTAAGCCTTATACTTTGGTGAAAGGTTGGATGTTTTCCCCTTATGTCCAAATCGTACATTTAGTCAGTATGCTACCGAAATTTCTAGCCAGTGCAGTGAGGCAGGGAAAGAGAACAAATCTGTCCAGGCTGGAAAGAAAGAGAATGATGATCTTTCTTCTCAAACTCTGTGATCCTCTATGTAGTATGTCTTAGGGAATCTACCACCTGCCCTTCTTCCCACCCCTCCCCCCCTAAAAAAAATCCAGGACTAATAGTGAATTTAGCAAGACACAAGACCAAATACATTTTTTTTAACTCTATATACTAGTAATAAACCACTGGAAATTGAGCTTTTTTTTTTTTTAAACAAAAACACTGCCTTTGATTCCAACTCATTCTGTGTAGTATGTTGTTACAGGAGCACCAGCCGGCCTCAACCCTTTCTCCAACAGAGCATTTGGTGGATTTGAACTGCCGCCCTTCATGTAGTTAGCAGTCCATTGCCTAACCCACAGTGCTACCAGAGTGCTTTACAATTTATAACAGCATTTTAAAATTCAATAGGCTTAGGGGTAACTGTCAAAAGATGTGCAAATCTACTGAAAGCTGCAAAACAGTAATTAAGAGAAACCTACATAAGTGGAGCAATATCTCATGTTAATGATTCTGTAGGCTAAGAAGTGTTCAAAATTTAGTTCTTTTTTTAGTTTTAGTTCTATCCAAATCATTCTATAGATTCAGTACTAACCATGATCTCAGTAAGGTTTATTTCACGGTGTATGTGCATGTGGAGGCGGGGGTGGGGTAGGACAGGAGGAGTCGACATGCTGATCATTCATACGAAGCACAGAAGACCTAGTGTAGAAAAAGAAGCAAAACTCAAGGGTTAATAGTGCTTGACTTAAAGACTTGTGGTTTTGGCATCTAGGTGAACAGTAATTTGATGGAACTGAATGGAGTCCAGAAATAGACGCTCACGTACATGGTCAGTTTCCTATAGAGGTGGAAAGGCCTTCCAGCAAAGAAATGATAGTCTTTTCATTAAATGATGGCTAAGACATTTTGATATCCATATACCAAAAATATAATAAAAACTTCAACCCCTAGTTTGCAAAGCTTAATTCAAAATGGGTCATAAACCTATATATAAAACCTAAAATTATAAGACTTCCAGAACAAAATGTAGGAGAAGATCTGTTTTGTTGAATGTGGCAAAAATGTCTTAGATATAATACCAGAAGCATGATTCATGAGAGAAAGAAATTTATAAATTGGACTTCATCAAGATTAATCTTTTGGTCTTCAGAAGTCCCTGTGAAGGAAATGAAAAGGCAAGGGGAGAAGGCTACAATGATCCATGTGGTACTTACGGAGTGAGGCTGGAGCTAGCAGTCGGAACCCATGTTTAGCTTACTAGAGATGCATATGAACGTAAAAGGCATTTCTGGATAGGTGTCTATGCAGGGGCTGGGTGTTGACACAGCCATTTCCTTGCTCCGTCACTGAGGGGCCTGGAAGCAGAGACACCCGACAGCCCCAGACATGCCCAGTGCCCAGATCTTCGGTCCAGGGCTTCTTCCAACAATGGCTAGCAGATTAACCAAAAAGTGAGGAAGTTCTAGGGCGTGAGGGTGGACAGGAGTGATAGAGGTATGTCAAAGGGACGCAGAGCCAAATGGAAAAGCTCCCAGAGACGAAAGCTAGTTGAGCAACAAAATAAAGCGTTACAGCCCAAGTACAAAATGAGTATCTATAAGTCCATACTGTTTATGCATACATGATAGGCAGGTAGCTGAGAACAGAAAAGTCTGTGCAGAATTCCAAATAATTTACTTAAAGATACATAATAGGTACTGAAAGATACTTATAGAGGATAACTCCCCACTCTTTAAGTGTGGGTTGAACAGAGTGATAACTTGTAAAATATAATATGGAAAAGAGAGACAAAAGAGTAGCTGTAGTGGAGAAACGTGATAAACACTACCTCCACAGCAAGATGTTAGGTGGAGGTGATGGGCACTTGACATAATGTGGTCTCAAGACCCCTCACGCTAGTCTGGCCATGAGAAAGCATCAGTTAAACCCCAGTGGAGGGACATTCTACCAGTCCCTTACCAGTCCTCCTCAGAGATTGTTGAGGAGCAGAAAGGAAAAAGGGTAGATGAACAGAGCCGGAGGGATCTGTGGGGCTCCAGCCAACATGCCAAGGTACAGGTTTTGGGAATCCCAGAAAGAGAAGAGTGAAAGGGAGGGCTGTTTGAAGAAATGGTAGCTAAGAATCTTTGAAATCTGATTAAAGACAGGACCAAGAAGCTCAACATACTCCAAGCAGTATAAATCCAGAGATCCACACCAAGAGACTTAGCCATCAAATCATCAAATTCCAAAGACGAGGAGAAAGATTGTAAAGCAGCAAGAAAGGAGCTTAGCACATACAAAATATCCTCAATTAAAAAAGGAAGGGGGAAAAAAAACCCAGTTAATTTCTCCTTACAAACTGTGGAGGCCAAATCAGTGGCAAGAATTTGTCACATTGCAGGATACACAACCAGCACGCACAACTACGTGGTGTTTCTGTGCATTCACAAGGAACTCTCTGAACAGGGAGTTGAGAGGTAACTCCAGTTACAGTAATACCTAACAAGAATAAAAAAATCAATTCAAAATGGATCAAAGATATAACTGTTGGAGTTAAAATTATACAACTCTTAGAAGGAAACAAAGGAGACCTTGGATTCGGCAGTTCCTTAGTGTGGGAACAAAAGAAAATAATAAATTGGGCTTCATCAAAATGAAAAACTCTTGTACATCAAAGGGCACTATGGAGAGTAAAATGCTTGCACAGCAACCTTGTAGGACAGAGGTGAATTGTCTCTGTGGATTTCTGACTCTGTAAGACTTTACAAGAGTAGAGAGCCCTGTTTTTCTCCCAAGGAGCGGCCAGTGGTTTCAAACTGCTAACCTTACAGTTAGCAGCCCAACCCATAACCACTGCACTTACAATGGAATGTTTTCCAGCCATTAACTCAAAAGCAGATTAACAGGAAAAGAGCACAGTGCCATCAGAGCAGCCCCTCGCCAGGAGGCCAACAGTGGGCTCTCCATAGGAACTATGCAGGCCAGATCCAGTGACATTGAAATGGGAAAGCTCTGGAAGGGAGAAAAGAGAATTGCCAACACAATTCTATACTCAGCAGAACTAGCCAGAGGAAATCCAGGTGTCAGGGCCATGGGGTGATGGCATCAGTGTGGTTTTCACTCTCCGGACACCTGAAGCGGCCCTGGTCCCTGCCCCTCCATAGACCACCTGGACCAACCCTCCCCACCCTGGGGCTTTGAGCCAGCACTCCACCCCGCCCCCCGCCCCAGTGCCAGGTGCTCACCGTTGTGTTTGCCCCCAGTGACACAGCATATTAAAGAGCTGCTGGAGAGGAGCGCTAAGAAGAAGTCCAAACTGAGAAAGAAAGCCAAGCCGTGTGTTGGAGAGCCAGATGGTAGGGGCCTCTCCATGGCCCAGGCAGCGGCTATGCCTGGGTCTAACTCTGCTCTCTCCACCTCGGCCACCCTGGCCTCGCCTCTAACTGCTTCTGGGCCGGGGGTGGGGATGCTAACCTTGGGCCTGCAGCCACCTCCAGTGAGGGTGCGGAGCCCCCAAGTCCTACCCAGAAGAGGGCCTTCTTCTCTGCGCTCCAGTGTTTCCAGCTTGCATGCTTGGGGGCGGGGTGGGGGTGGGGTGGGGGGTAGAGTCGGCAAAGCCTCCGGGGCCTCAGGTGAGTGTGTGTGGTAGGCCTGGCTTTGTGGAAGGCTCACCTCCTTTGTGGGAGGGGTCCTCTGTGGGTAGCCATCTTCCAGTGGGGTAGACCCAGCTCCTCAGTCTGAGGACCTTGCCTTCTCATTGCCCAACCTGTTCTCTCATCTCCTGGCCCAGGGCAGATCTGGAAAGCACAGGGCATCCCTACCTACCTCTGTGGCACCGAGCTGTCAAATCTTGGCTCATATTACTCAGATCCTCTGATACCCCTTAGTGTGGGCCCCTTCCTGCAGGAAGCCCTCCCTGACTGAGTGCAGGACCCTAAGACAAGGCCCAGGGCTTCGTGGAGGGCTGGTGGCCTGAGTCTGAACACCTCAGCCCGGGAAGGCCAAGCCCAGGCCATCAGCTGACTCTGTGGCTCTGCAACTGGGCCATGTCAAGGGCCACTCGGAAGGACACAGCAGTACACTCTGCTGACCGCTCCCCTCTACTCCCCCCACCACCACCAGGGCCATGCTCTCGCTGCTGCTCCTGAGCCTGTGATGCGAGGCCTACACACAGCGTACACACACACACCCCATCCCACCCTCTTCTCAGGCCCCACGGGCCCTGGAGTCCAGGAGAAGTGCCTGGTGTATTGCTTGAGGCCCCAGGAAGAGGCAGGCTCTGCTTCCTGCCCCTCAAATGGTGCATGTTCCAGTTGCTTTGTCTCTCGCTACTCTGGAACAAGGGGGTGACCTGGAGGGACCAGCTGGACAAGGTCAGGGATGGAGCCGGGGCTCTGCCCACCCACAGGGACCCGGATCCCCAGAGCTAAAGACAGATTCTGTAGTGCTTCACATGCTGAGGAAAACGCTTCATTGAGATTCTGCTAAAAAAAAAAAAAAAAAACCCGACAGTGATGAAACTTCTTATGGGAAGTAGAGGAGGGTGTGCAGCTGCGCAGTGTTGGGTGCGAGTGGGACGGCCTTCTCTCCCAGGGCTGCCTGCACTCCAGGCTCTGCCCATCTCGATTTCGGGATCTGGTGTGTGTCCAGCTTGCCACTGGTGCCACCTGCAAAATGTGCCTAGGTGGTCCTCTCAGTCTTGGTGCCCAGGTGGCTGCTGGGTCCACTCAGCTACCAGGTCTGGGGCTCTGCTAATGCCATGAACCCTGGGAGCTGGCCCTGCGATGGAAGGCCTGAGCCCAGAGCACAGGACACCCTCCGGAATGGACGGCAAACCTGGGTGGCCAGACAGGAGGGGTGTTCATGCATGTCCCTCAGTCCTTCTGGGGACGGTGCCTCACTCTTCCAGGGAAAGGGGCTGAGAAGTCCCCACAAGGGTGCTCTCTGCTGCTGCCGGCCAGCCCACTGCTCTCCAAGCTGTGGGTGCTGAATAGTCCGGGTACATGGGGACCATGCAGCTTCTAGGGGCTCTGCCCAGGGCAGGGCCTATAGGTCCTGGGGGCCCCAGAAACTGCTTCTCTGCCCCTTTCTGCTGCCTCTCTATAGCCACTCCCATGCTCTGTCCCAGCTCATGGCGCCCACTCTTTTGCAGGGGTGGCGATAAGCACATATGCCAAGTACTGCTACCACAAGCTGCAGAAGGCTGCCCTGACCGGGGCCAAGAAGGTACATGCACTCTCAAGCCCAGGGCCCCCATCCAGGAGCCAGGCTACGGGCAAGGCCAGGGACCAAGGTTGTGCAGCTTGGGGGCAAGTCTAGATGTGAGAGCACCCCTCCCTTGGGGCCCTTGGTCCAGGTGAGACCCCACCTAGCCTGCAAGGTCAGGGGCTGACCTGCAGGCCCCGTGGACAAGTTCAAGTCCTAAGGTCCACAGTCCTGTTCAGCGCCCCTCCTGGGCCTTGTCAGACGTGGCAGCCAGACTCAGGGTTACTCCATAAGGCACACGTCTGAGCCCACGGGCCTCTCCACTGTTGCCCCACCCAGGCTGCCATGCTGACCCAGGCCCACCCAGCAAAGCTCACCCACACCTCCTACGCCCCTCCAGAATGTGAGATCTTGTCCTCTGCAGGTGTGGTCTGGCCAGAAGTGCTGGCCTGTGGCTATGGGAGAGCAGGGAGCCATCCCTGGCTGGCTCCCGGCCCTTGTCTCGGTCACGCCTAGAGTCTAGTTCTCTGGCTTCACTGGGACGTGCAAGACCATGCACATCTCCAGGTGCCCAGTCCTCGCTCCCTCAGTATGCCTGGCCCAGCCCCCCTCCACCTGCAGCTCTCCCTGCCCAGACCCTCCTGCCCTTGGGCATACTTCTCCCCAGGGGCACCATTCCCTCTGTCACAGCCAGACCTCCCAGAGTCACTGCCTGCCTTCAGACCCAGGACTGACCCCCCAGAGTGATCTCATGGTCAGAGCAGGCTCTCTGACTGGCCTTTCTGGGGGTCAGGCTTGGTGAGAGGTCACTCCCTGCCTCCCTCCTGTGTCGCCATTGGGCCATTTGAAGCTTCAGGTGCTGTAGGTGGTGGGACAACCCCTTGGTGGCTTAGGATTTGGGCACTGTGAAGGGTGGGGCTGAGCCCCAGGGTCAGGATAGGGAGAGTGGTTCTCTTCCAGGGGCTGCGGAAGCCCACCGTGGAGGAGATCCGGCACGCCAGGAACGCGGTGTTCAGCCCGTCCATGTTCGGCAGTGCCCTGCAGGAAGTCATGAGCATGCAGAAGGAGCGCTACCCCGAGCGGCAGCTGCCCTGGGTACAGACCCGGCTCTCCGAGGAGGTGCTGGCCCTCAACGGCGACCAGACAGAGGGCATCTTCAGGTGCCACCCCGTGCCACCTGGCCTTCCCTGGGACCTCCAGCGGGGTCTCCCTGGAGGCACACCTGGGTAGAGGTGGGGGCCAGGATAGGCCTCCCATACCCAGCTTGTGGGTGAATAGTCTCACCAGAAAGGAGACTTGTGGATTGGCCCCTGTAGAGGGTGGGTAGGGTGCAGCCATGGGGCAGGGCCTGAGTGAGGCTGGGGGCTAGAGGTCTGGTTGCTAAGCCCTGCTGTCCACCCACCCCCACCCCCAACCGTTGCTCCACAGGGTCCCTGGGGACATTGATGAGGTGAATGCTCTGAAGCTGCAGGTGGACCAGTGGAAGGTGCCGACCGGCCTGGAAGACCCCCACGTCCCTGGTGAGGCCCAGAACCCATCCTGTTGTGTGCCTGGCAGTGCGGCCAGGGAGACTGGCATAAAGTATCAGCCTGCACAAAGCCCCCACCCCAGCCTGTGCCCTCCACTGCCCTGTGGCCATCACACTGGAGTCTCAGCCCTGCGGCAGCATTTGCACAACCTCGCTGGCCCCTGGAGAGACATACTTTGCCTTCTCCCTCCTGTGGGGTGCCCCGCCCTGACCCCCATAGGCAGGTGGAACCTTTTCCTGGTAGCCCCCCAAACACCCCTTTTATGGCCTCTGCTGACTCAGTGGGTGTGTTTCCCCCATGCCTGCAGCATCCCTGCTGAAGCTGTGGTACCGGGAGCTGGAGGAACCGCTCATCCCGCACGAGTTCTATGAGCAGTGCATCGCGCACTACGAGAGTCCAGAAGCCGCCGTGGCCGTGGTGCACGCCCTCCCGCGCATCAACCGCATGGTGCTCTGCTACCTCATCCGCTTCCTCCAGGTATGGCTGTGCCCACCCTGCCCTGCTCCTGGGCCCGGGCCAACGGCCCGCCCTCTGCCTTCCACCCTCCCCCTCCCCACAGGTTTTCGTGCAGCCTGCCAACGTCGCCATCACCAAGATGGATGTGAGCAATCTAGCCATGGTGATGGCGCCCAACTGCCTGCGCTGCCAATCAGATGACCCCCGAGTCATATTCGAGAACACGCGCAAAGAGATGTCCTTCCTGCGAGTGCTGATCCAGCACCTGGACACCAGCTTCATGGAGGGTGTGCTATAGCGGGTGGGACGAGCGGGAGCAGGAGAGCGGGGAGGGACCACTCAGCCCAAGGGTCACAAGCAAGCCCAGCACAGGGGCTTGAGCAGAGCTGCCACAAGGGGCCCACCCTCCTCCCTAGCCCAGGTCATGAGCCCCAAGGGACCCCCTGGCCACAGGCTGGGTGTGAGGGCACAGCCTGGCCACAGAAGAGCCCCTCTGGGCCCCACCTCAGGGCTAGCTCCTGCTGAAACACCCCAGGGGTGGTTGTGTTAGCCCAGCCGGCCTGCAGCACAGCCCTGAGAAAGTGCCTTCTGTTACCCAGAGCCGAGCGACACTGCCCCTCATGGCCAGCCGGCCGGCACGTAGCCCTCCCCTAAGGGTGAGCTGCCATTTTGCCATCTGCCTGGCCCTCTCCCCGCGTGCACCTCTCCCGACACACACTCTCACCCACCCACCCTTCCTCTGGTCGGCCTGCAGCTCCCTGACCCATAATGGGAGCTGTCATGCCCTGCCAACCGGATACTCCTGGACCAACCTCTTCCCTCACCTGCCTACCTGTTGCTTGGAGCATGGTGACTGAGTGCAGAGGGGCTTGGGGGCCCCAGGGCACTGGCTGTCCACCACCGTGCAAGGCCCAGCAGGCCCGCTCTGGGGTGTAGGGGCCCCCCAACCAAAGTCCTTGGGTGATGGGCAGGGCTGGGCTTGGCTGGGTGGATGGGGGAGGGGCGAGAATATTTTTTCTTCATGTAACTACAAATCCCAAACCTGCCCTGCATCCCAGCTCCGCCTGTGTATAGAGATATAAAGAGAGGGAAAGATGTAAAGAACTAAATTTGCTAATGACATCGTTTTAACCCAAACGCTATTTATCTCTGAGCCGCCCCCACCGCCCTATGTCAGAGCAAGTTTTCATTCCTCAATTTTTTTTCTCAAATCTTTCATGGCTTCTGACCAAAAACCAACCTGCCCCCTATCTCCCTTGCCCTGCCCCACAGCGAACAGGAAGCCCCCTCGCCCCAGAGGAGCCAGGCCTGGGCGTCCTTTGGCCGAGCTGCTGGAGGGGCAGCCCCACTTTGTACATTCTCCATTTTGGAATATTTTGAGTTCCGATTGTTGTAAAACTTAATTTCCCCTGGTTTATATATATATATATTTTTAGAGTTGAGTTTTTATTTATTATTAAACACAAAAAGCCCAGCCCTGCCTGCCGAAGCCTGATGACCCCGAGGTGGGTTGTGGGAGTCTGATTCAGACTCAGAGAGGCGACTCCGCTCTGTGAATAAACTATGTATGGACACTGCCCGGCTGTGCATACCGCCTTCTGTCCCTTTGGTCTTCGCGGGCGGGGAGAGCGGGCAAGAGCCCTGGGCTACGCACGCAGGCGCCCGCACGCTCGCGCGGGGCGGGGCACAGGGGAGCCCAGCCGCGCGGAACCGTAAGCGCGGGCAGAGGGCGCCGGGGGAGGGACTCCTGTTTGCGCAGCGCCGCCCCGTGACCGGCGGCCGTTTCCGGCGCGAGAGCAGGATGTGGCCTGTGTGTGTGGCGCCCCGGTCGCTGGCCTTGCCGCGGTCGCTGGTGGCCCGGCTGTGCAGTGGGGGAGGGGGCGGAAGCGTCTCGTACAAGCAAGGCCAGAGCCCCGAGCCCCGGACGCGGGAGTACTTTTATTACGTGGACCACCAGGGCCAGGTGAGCGGCGACAGGGTCTGGGCGGGGCCTTTGTGTGAGGGGGCGGGGCTGGGGCGGGCTCTATGAGCGAAACAACAACTGCTGAGTGAGGCTAGGGCCGGTCTTGACCCGGCCCAAGCAGCACGGACCCCAGCCTGTAGTGCACCCCCGCTGCCCGAGACACACCCTGTGGGGGCCGTCCTGCTGGCGCGGGAGGAGGCGGAGGGCACACTCGTCCCGGGAACCGGTGTGCGCGGTGCAGGGGTCCCCAGGCTCCGGATTGGCCCCAGCGGCTCCGTAGTAGGCTGGAGCTCAGGCCCGCGCCGACGCGACGGGCTGCACGCTGGGGCTCATGAGCCACGGCCTGCCCTCTTATCTGTAGCTTTTCCTGGATGATTCCAAAATGAAGAACTTCATCACTTGCTACAAAGGTACCATTGTGCCCCCGTCCCCGTCCCCGTCCCCCCACTACTGTCCCACCTGCCTGGTCTCCAGTGAGGCCAAGATCGCTCGACCGGTGGGGAGCAGGGTGTGGGGGCAGCTGCCCCAGCAGGCGTGCAGCCGCGCCCTTCTTCTTCCAGACCCGCAGTTCCTGGTCTTCTTCTTTTCCCGCCTGAGAGCCAACCGCAGCGGGCGCTACGAAGCCGCCTTCCCTTTCCTCTCGCTCTGCGGCAGAGAGAGAAACTTCCTGCGCTGCGAGGACCGGCCAGTGGTCTTCACACACCTGCTGCCCTCAGGCCGCGGCCCCCCGCGCCTTTCCTACTGCGGTGGCGGCGAGGCCCTGGCCGTGCCCTTCGAGCCGGCGCGCCTGCTGCCGCTGGCCGCCAATGGGCGGCTCTACCACCCGGCGCCGGAGCGCGTGGGCGGCGTAGGCCTGGTGCGCTCGGCCCTGGCCTTCGAGCTCAGCGCCTGCTTCGAGTACGCGCCCGGCGCGCCCTCGC